TAAATTCCAAAGTCCAATTCACCATTTACTACTTGGTATAACTTTAGAAAGAATTTTTGTCTCTAAACCAACACTTTTCCCATAAAATAGGAAGTGTTAATAGTTCATATTTCATAAGGGTTTAAATTAGGTAGTATGTATACTTCCTATCACTGAGGCAGCTCCTAACCATCAGTATTGTCTTACATATGCTATAAATTATATATAAAAAAATAGATGCGTATTCCATGTAAATATAATTGCTTCTAAATAGTAATCTAACAACACTTCCTCCTTAAAACCTTCCAGTAGCTCTCCATTGTTCCTGATGTTGGATCTACACCCCTTCCTCTAACTCGTGTGGTCCATATCTGGCTCTCTCCTAAGTCCTGTCTCTTCTTCCTCCTCCTCACCTTTCTTCAAGCTTTCCTTCCCTTTCCCCGTCACTTCTGTCAACATAAGCTCTTCCTTCTTCAGTACATCTGCTTGTGCTGTTGTTCCTTTTGCCTGGAAGGCCTAGCTTAGACATTGTTTCCTTCAGAACTTGCCTCAAAAATCAGTTGGCCAAGCCAAACATGGTGGTACACTCTAGTAATCCCAGCTACTTAGTAGGTGGAAGCAGAAAGAGTTCCAGGCCAGTCCAGACAAAGTGAACAAGACCCAGTTAAGAAAGGGAGGGAAGGAGGAAGGGAAGGAGGCTCAAGCAGTAGGAATGCTTATCTGAAAGAAGGGAGGGGGATGCAATTGCTTAAAAATCATTCAGCTCAGAAGTGAATCAGAAAGACCTTCCTGACCACCTCATCTGCTCACATGGTTGACTTTTCTTGAAGGTCAGAAAGTTGCCCTGGAAAGATTGCACTTGCTTTGTTTGTCCTTTTAGTTCCACTGTTTGAAACAGGGCCTTGTGCACTGTGGGTACTGAGTTCATGTATTTAATGAGTGAATGTCTTTCTTTCCCAGACTAACATCTCCCATTAGTGTAGAACCAGATGGTGCCTACCCCTCATGAAATGCCCAAGTTCCTAAATGCACGGGGTTGGGCAAGCCATTGCTCTGCACGTATGTCAATTATAAAGGTTCTTCCGGAAGAAGAAATTATACTGTTCTTTAAGAGCTTCTATTTACCTGGCTAATAGCCAAATAGCCACTTAGGTGCCTGGCATTAAGTTCCTACTAAGCAAACAAATGCATTTCCCTACTCAACATAGGCTTTTCATTGGCAATGTCACCAATCTGCTTCCAGAAACAAAAAAAAAAAAGGTTCCCTCCATTCTGTGAATGGCAGGGGACCAACAGGCCCTGCCACCATTGCTGCTAGCACCCTTGTCCCTATCACATCGCTGCATACAGGCAGCAAGGTCAGGAAGCAAAGGCCATTCAGAGGTGGCAACAAAGCCAGCAAAGCAAGAGATGACATCAGAAAGCAGAGTCAAGGGATGGGGGGGGGGGGGGGGTGAAAGGAGGGGGGCTTGACCCACAGTGAGTGTCAGGGCCACCAGCTAGCTGTAACATCAAATGTGTTCCCTTTCTTACAACTCATGCTGAAGCCCTAACAGCCACCATTCAAGAGGTGACTCTGAAGACAGCATCTTCAGAGAGATTCTTAAGTTAAAATGAATTCATTAGCATGGACCCTAATCCAGCTTGACTTGGCTATTTAGGACCCAGAGATAAAATGGTCATCTCCAACTCCAGGACAGAAGACCAGGAATGGCTGCTTCCCCTCCTTCCTTCCTAGCTATGTGATGGAAGCCACTAGCATTCACCTTGATCTCAGACTTCGGCCTCCAGAGCTGTGCGAAAATAAGCCCTTCGTCTCTAGTGCTCTGTCCTGGCAGTCCCAGCCAACTAAAATGACAACTGGTTAATCTTCCAGACAGCCCAAGTTTCCGCAATTACAAAATGGAAATACCTGGCCTTGCTGCCTCCCAGGTTTGCTGGAGGGATCCAGTGAGTCTTAGTGTGGGAGATCTTTGGAAACTATAGAGTTCCAACAAAGACGTTAGGATATCTAACTTCACTCACAGAGCTGGATCATGGGGTACTGGTCATGGAACCAGGGGCTTGTGGGGTGACAGTCAGAGGTGTAAGAACTGGACCAGAGCTGTGGCAAGCTCTTTCTCCTGACCCCCAAGTAAAGAAGGAAGCTGCCTACAGTTATTTAATGGACACAGGAGAAACAGAACTTGTATGGGAGAAGGGAAAGAGAACAGAACAGAAACCAGAGAGCTCTGAGAAATTAAAAGCAAACAACAACAAAAATCAACCACATCTCTAAGAGTTTTCTGGATAAAGACAATACGTTTTATTTGGATGATACTGGCAGACCCAGAACACTTCAAGGAAGTGCATTCCCTCTCATTTATGTATATATCAACATCGTCCAAAAGAAATTTCTGCAATACTGAGAATATTCTAGATCTATCCTGTCCAGTATGGAAGCCGCTAGTCACAAGTGGTTACTGATGAAGTATGGTAATGAAGCCATCCTCGTAACAATTACTTTCTGGAGTAGTAGGTGTCTATTACCATTTAATTCTATCTACAGCCCTGGAAGAGAGGTAGGCTTGCATGTCCATTTGATGGTATGGTTACTAGAACCACCATCTTGCTCATCTCTGGTCAGTCTGATGGGCAATATGCAAACACAAGCTATTCCCTGACTCCCTACTGCCTGCTCTAAGGGTTTTACATATTAGGGCCCCAGCTCCTTCCTGAGGCTTTGAAATTTAACTCAAACAGGTAGTCATCTCTAAAGCTATTAAGCAGGGCTTCTTTATGAAGCCTCTAGCAGGGGTCCTACTGAAGCCAATTTGACCATGGCAAGGCAATGTGACTCTTCATTTTTGATGATTAAAAGAAAAAAAAAAGGCCAAATCCAGTAGCTCATGCCTGTAATCCTAGCTACTCAGGAAGCTGTGATCTGAGGATCACAGTTCAAAGCCAGCCCAGGCAGGAAAATCTATGAGACTCTTATCTCCAATTAATGACCCAAAAAAATCCCAAGTAGAGCTACAGCTCAAGTTGCAGAGGTCAAACCTTATGGGAAAACCTTAGGAACAATGCCCAGGCCAGAAACACAGCAATACTCAGAGAGCACAGGACCCACACTGGCCCATACAGTGCAGGACATCTGAACTGTTTTATCATCAATACCAAATTCCATTTTACCAAGTCTTCCCCTAAAATCTCCTTCAAGGTTCAGCCAGGATATCATTCCTCTGCACGAAACATGTAATGCCCAAGGGTGCCAGAGTGCACTGCTCACATGTCTACATAATACTTTTTTTAAAAATTAAACTCAGGGTCTTACATATGCCAAGCAATTGGTCTACCACCAAGCTACACTGCTAGCCCTATACTCATTTCTCATACTGCCTTGTACCATGCCATAATTATACGATACATATCAGTTCATCTTTCATAACCTCACTTAACAGGAGGCTCAACAAGAAATAAGACACCAAGTAGAACAATGGTGCTCAAGCTTGTTAAAACAGACTGCCAGTACTATCTCCAGAGTTTCCTGTTCCGTGGTCGCCAGTGAGTCCTGAGAGTATGCACGTCTATCATCTCAAGCAATGGTGAACTATTGACCCAAGGTCTACAAAATTAAGAACCAATGTAAGATGTGTGTGAATACATAATTGAGTGAATGGAAATTTCCCTTTAAAATCTTATTCACTGAGGGCTCCAAAAATGAGCTTCAGAAAGATCAGGACAAATGATATGACCAACCTTTACTTCTAGATAGGAAGTAAAAATAGAAACAGCAAAGGAGGGGAAAACGGACCAAAGATCAGGGAATCAGATGAAGGAATACTAAAAGTAAGACATTTTGAAACCATCGTCTGGTTTCCTTTTAGACCTACCTGATAATTTATGATCAGATCAGAAATTAAAAAGAGGTTCATTTTTATTGACTCAACCACATCTTAAAAAATATTCTGGGCAATATTTGGACTCAGTAAGTCCAAAACTAGGAAATTTTCATAAGAAACTAATCAGAAATGAATGTCAAAATGATGTACAAGAAGAGTCAATAAAAGCCCTGTTTATAATAACCAGAAAGTTGGAACAACTTAAATGCTTGGCAAAAAGGAATTAGATTCAATAAACTATGGTATGTCCATAAATGGAATATTATAACATCTTTTAAAATGTCTTTATGGGGAATATTTATTGACATAGGAAGAGATACATGATATAACAAATTCTTTTTAAAAAGCAAGCTAAAAAGCAGTATAAATGTTATCATCTAATTCTGGATAAAAACCACATTGAGAAATAGAGAAATAGATTGAAAATACAGATAACATAGTCATATAACAAACTGAGAGATGTCATGTCTTTCAATCATTTCTATAATAAATACACATTGCTTGTGTGATTGTTTCCAGGATATTAAAAAAAATTACAGGCTGTGGGAGGTTTACATTTTTTTTTTTATTTCTTCCCCTGACGGATCAGAGATGAACTGAAGCATGAGCATTTTTATAAGCTTTTCTCCACCCTGTGCTTTTATAAACACCAACTACGACCTGAACTCCAGCTAGAAGCATCTGCAGCACTAACCCTCTTTCGGGATGCTTTCTGGACCTGTTTCAGACTTCATTCCCAACTCAAAGAGCCTCACTTTCCCTCCTACTACCAGCAAAGGGATCGGCTTCAGGGAATGACACTGACAACTGTTGCTGGTCACCCAGCAAGTAGTGAGTTTTCAGAGACCAGTAGCTACCTCAAACACTAGCTTTCAGTAAGGCAGGTTGCTTAGCAACCACCAGGGAACTGGGAAGAGAGAAGCAGACAGCTGCCAGTGATGTTTTATGACTCAAATAAACTGCCCTATGTGTGTCTGGTTGCATTCAAGGTAACCAAATAGATAACACCAGGCTATTTTTGCATCATGAGGCAAAACGTTTGGCTCCTGCCCAGAAGGGCAATTACCTAAAAGTTTTGGCAGCTCCCACGGTATGAAAAATGGTAACTAATACAGGAGTGGGGGAAAAAAAATCACTGACCTTCATAAATACTGATGATATGAGGATGGCTGAGGGATGACATGATCTCGATCTCTCGTCTGATGTGAACCATGTCTTGTTCATCCTTAATTTTGTCCTTACGGATGGATTTTATAGCAACCTATAAAGTCAGGAAATGAAATGTTACTCAGAGAACTAAACAGATGCAAATCAGCTATTGAGAGAGTTTGGAAAATAAATACAGATGTTATTTGTTGGCAGAATGGACAATCATCAAAACAAAGCTTCGAAATACCCTCCTTGTCATGTCCTTTATTTGTAGTAAAAACACCCTTCACTTGCAATAGAAGACATCAGGTTTTAACAGTCTGAGGGCTGGGCTCCCGGATTTTTTAAAAAAATATTTTTCTTTTTCATAAAGCAGAGTCTGTTTAACGTAGTAAGATTCACTTACTCTGGGAATTCTGATCCTTTGGGGGAAAAGAAAAGAAAAGAAAAGAAATCGTGAGCTCCATTTACAGGGTTATTGATGATGAAACACGGCAAGGTGCTATTTGGGCCACTCAGTTCCACCATGAAACTGCCCACAGTGGCTTTTAAATAAAAATCACATTGGGGCCGGGCACTGTGGCTCACACCTGTAATCCTAGTTACTCAGGAGGCTGAGACCTGAGGATTCAGTTCAAAGCCAGTCCATGCAGGAAAGTCCGTGAGACTCTTATCTCCAATAAACTACTCAGAAAAAGCCAGAAGTGGTACTGTGATCAATTGGTAGAGTCTTAGCCTTGAGCAAAAGAAGCTTAGGAACAGTGTCCAGGCCCTGAGTTCAAGCCTCAGGACCACACACACACACACACACACACACACACACACAATTACATTAAGCCAGGTGCCACTGATTTACACGTGCAATCTTAGCTACACAGGAGGCTGCAAACTGAGGATCACAGTTCGAAGCCAGCCAAGGCAGACAACTCAGAGACTCTTATCTCCAACAAACCAGCAAAAAAAACAGAAGTGGAAGCGTGACTCAAGTAGTAGAGCACCAGCTTTGAGCAAAAAAAGCTAAGAGAGAACCACAGGCCCTCAGTTCAAGCCCCAGTACTGCCATAGAAACAAAAGTCACCTTAAGCACTTTCACCAGCCTATGCTGCCTATATACATTTGCTCAGGAGACAGATCATTCTTCCCTTCCCAGGTACCTTCAACAGCGTGTGACATGACAAACAGGCTTTTCCAGAGACAAACCAGGATAAAACAAAAGGAATGCCAGCTCAGCTCCACTCTGTGCCCAGCCCAGTAGATTCCAAACGCTCCTTGCCAATGGAGTCTGCAAATCTAAACTAGAGAATTGCTAGGCCAGCACAGTGATTACTCAAGAGCAGCTCATAAATAAAAGGGCATTAAGTGACAATAGGAATCTAACAAGGAAAAACACATTTGCCAATGGAGTCATCTTTGCTCATAAACAAGCTCAGTTAGTAATTTCATCCGCCTTGGCTCTAAGAGGGGCAAAAAGTGCATGGGGGAGGGGCACCCAGGGGTCAAAAGGAAAGCTACCAACCAATCCACTGCCATCTCTGAAAGCCTGCTTAAGCTCCCTCCCAATCCGCCGGCCCTCTTGTGACCTCTACGCTCACCTGTACTACTCCTAGGTGAAAGGCAGCTACCCTATGCTTCTGGATGATAAAATCATGCCCTTAACTTACCATCAGAGGAAAGCAAGTAGCCTCTAGCTATACCTTGACTAGCACTGGGCTGACCACAGCCAGCCACAGCAGAAAGGGATTCACATGCCCGTTCGCAGCTTCTGACCCAGCCTGATAAACCAAAACCACTCCTAAAAGATAGTCCTTCTATCCGGGATTCAACAAGAACAGGGAAGTGGTTGTTCCTGATTTTGCTCCCAGAAACCAGGTTAAATCCATCTGAGTTAGGTCTGCTCTTTCTTGTCTCTCTCTCTTGTGCTCTGTCTTGTTCATTCAGTCCCTTTCCTAATCTATGGTTACACCCTGACGCAGGTCTGTACCGGGCTCTATAGTCAAGGGATCATATTCACTGCTCTGGCTCCAGCCCTCACCCTCATGCTTGGCCCCTGGTCTATCTCAGTAAACATTCAGGGCAGGCAGGCAGCAGGTGGAAAGAAAGACAAAGAAGAAGAAAGAAAGAAAAGGCAGGAAGGAAGGAGGCAAGAGGCAAGAAGGGGTGATAGTATTAGGGTAATGGGGATCCAAAAACAGAAGTAGTGGGAATATTCAGGCAAAAAGGACCACCCAACCAAATAATACTGACAACAAAGGTGCACTAGCAAAACATGATCTTCCATTGCTCCAACATGCCCAGGAGGGGCAAAAAAAATGGAGAACGCAGATATGAGACATGGGGATACAGAGCTATGAATCCCGGAGAGGATCATCCATCCTTCCCATATCACAGGAAGACCCCAGCATGGACCCTGTGGTCGATTAAAGGAGGATACACAGAGATGAATGAGCCTTCCAGTTCCAAGGCTCCTTTTCATGGAGCCAGACTCTGGGCTGCCTTGACCCTCACTACAGTCCCATTCAAGAGGCACCAAGAGCAGGACTCACGCCTGTAATCCTAGCTATTCAGAAGGCTGAGGTCTGAGGATCATGGTTCAAAGCCAGCCCAGGCAGAAAAGTCCATGAGACTCTAATCTCCAATAAACCACTGGAAAACCAGAAATGGTGCTGTGGCTCAAGTGGTAGAGCACTCGCCTTGAGTTGAAGAGCTGAGGGACAGTGCCCAGGCCCAGAGTTCAAACCAGACTGACAAAAAAAAAGGCACCAAGAGAATTCTCCTCAAGCTCATGTCAGAAGTCAGCCACCCTGTGAGTGGCAGGCTGCGTTCTGAATCAGGCCTGAATCAGGCCTGCATCCTGGGAATCTGTTTTCAGAGGAAGCAGACAGCAAAACACACACAGGACAAGGAGGATGTAGGTGGCTGTTGGACCAACTCCTACATTCCTCCATAAACTAAAGATGGACCAAGGGTAGAGCCACACACAGATCTGCCCCCCTCCCTTATTTATGCAGCAAGCTGAACTTGGCCTTAAGAAGGCCCTATTGTCAAATTACAATAGGAACACATTCTTTCACCATCTTGGGTCAGTGACATTCTAGCCTAAGAAAATGGGCCCACTGTCATTTCCCTCCCAACAGTCAAACAACAGGCTGATGGTCTCGTGGTGCAACTGCCAGGACACTGCTTCTAGCTGGGCATGAACAGAAAAAGTGCCTACATTCTAATCAGATCCTACTCAGTGCTTCGGAAACTCACAAGAGCTTCACAAATGTTAATAACCAAGCTGGCTTTCCCTCCACAAAAGATGCCCGCTGCTTTTACAATGAATCTTCCTCTGCAAAGGCCAGAGGGCTCATTCTGCTCCTGTTTCAATGGGGTGGTTGGAAAGCAAGAAGAGCCCGATGCTAGACACCACAAAGAGCCATGCCAGTGCCAAGGCTCAGAAGACACTAGATTCCATGTCCTGACAGCCATGAGAACCCACCCAAGGTCAGATAGCCAGCTAATGGCAAGCCAAGAAAACAGTAACGACAGTGATCCTAAAGTTGTCAGTCAACTTCGGCTCCCTGTCACCCCTTGGGGACCCCTCCCAGCCTCCTCTAGTTGACAAAACCACACCTTTTTCTTACACCCTCCCTTCCCATTTATTTTTAAATCACCATTTCTCACCAAGTTTCATTATCTTTCTTTTTTTCACTTGCTTACTGCTTATTAGACCTGTTTTTGTAGGACCCAAAGAATTAGGAATTATTGGGATATTTTTTGTGTTGTTACGTGCCAGTCCTAGGGCTTGAACTTAGGGCATTGTCTCTTTTTTCACAAGGTTAACACTCTACCATTTGAATCACACCCGCACTTCCAGCTTTTTCTGGGGAGTAGGAGGTCTGTTAATAGTAGATAAGAGTCTCAGACATTCCTGCCCAGGCTGGCTTCAAATCACGATCCTCAGATCTCAGCCTCCTAAGTAGTTAGGATTACAAGTGTGAGCCATGGACTCCAAGCTATAGTTGGGACACTTTTTTTAAAGTTTCTCCAAAAAGAAAATCTGTAAACATAGCTCTTATCTTGGTTCCTGAAGCTGGAAGGTAAACTGAACTATCATTGCACAGATAGGATAGCATGAGTTGAGCACATAGCTTTTGAGTCCTGGCTAAAATCATTCTCTAGCTGCGTGACCTAAGTTTCCTCATTCAAGTAGAGAATAAGTACCTGCCTCACAGACTCCTGCAAAGATGACATGTCAGGTGCTTAAGAACATGCCTACGCATATAACTGCTCAGTAAACATGTGCCACTTGCACCCAAAGTGTCCCTTCAGTAAAACCCTTCCTTTCTTCCTCAGAGCAAGATTGAATTACTCCTGGTTCCTCAAGCGACAGGAAGTAGAAGTCTTGAGCATTGGGACCACATTTGTTTCCAAAAATGAATACAGGACATTTCCATCCTGAGCATTTAAATGGTAACCTCATCTGAAAAAAAAATAAAAAAGCTAAGAGTAGCTAGAGGTCATGACAACAGTGTCCAAAGTCAAGTAAGAAGGTAAACACTTGAGCCCCCAAAACAACCCCAGAACCATAGCTCCCCATCCCCAACTCTTCCTTACTACTGCCCCTTTGGCTACACTGGGAAAAAAATTAATAAAATTTGGCTGCTCAGGCTCAAAAGACTTGTCTGAAGATACCCACTCTGCCAGGCACTGGTGGTTCACACTTGTAATCCTAACTACTCAGGAAGCTGAGAGCTGAGGATTGCATTTCAAAGCCAGCCTGGGCAGGAATGTCTGTGAGACTCTTATCTCCAATTAAACACCAAAAAGCCAGAAGCAGAATTCTGGGTCAAGTGGTATCCTTGAGGAAAAACTAAAACAAGCCTCAGGACCTAAGTTCAACCCCTAAGACCATCCAAAAGAAGAAAAAGAAGGAGGAGGAAGAAGGGGAGAAAGAGAAGAAAAAGAGGAAGATGAAGAAGAAAGAAAAGAAGGAAGAGGAGGGGAGGAGGAGGAGTAATTAATAATAATAATAATAATAACCCACTCCATACTTAATGACTGTGGACTATCTATTGACCTATTCTTTTTCTAAGCACCTGCCATGTACCAGTCGATACAGCAGCAGAC